TTCTATTTTTTCAAAAGTTAAATATGGCGACAACTTTGATATTATTATTAAACCGATCCATTAAATCAAAAAAAATCTAAAACTAAGAACATTTCTTATATTAAACATATCGATTACATATTAAAAGCCTAATAACTATCCATTACATGATAACCATCAAAAAAATATATATTAACAACAAATACAACCATCTATTACATGACAACTACCTAAAAAATAACAAAAACAATCACCCATTACATGATCATCATCCAAATACATATTAAAATTAATTTAGTAAAAAAATAAAAAAAAATAAAAATGAAAAAGATTGTTTTTATATAATTTTATCTTTTGTGGGTAAAAATAATTTTTTGACATTTATTTTTGTCAAATTAGTTTATGTTTTATCAAATTGACTTTGCTCTTGAAATGGAATAATAGTGTCTTCAATTGTCCTCAATTGAAATAAAATTCAAAATTAAAATTCAAATGTATCATAATTGAAAAGTCAACCAAAGTAACATAAGTCTCAAATTATAAAAATCATTAGTATAATCTGCCCTTTAATCAATAAAATAATGTAATTAGATGTATAAACAAATTAATATGAGAGAGAGAGAGAGAATTATCTTTGTTCAATATTTTGTTAAAATGGGTAAATTATAAATAAATCTCTGAAATTTGTTTAAAATATAGATTACCCCTTTATGATTATCAGAATTTTTTATTTAATAGAATTAACTGAAAAAATAAAATTCTTAACTGCTCTCTTATGCAATAATAAGATTACCTAAATTATTAATTGAAATAAATTTCTGATATCATTAAAAAATTATTAATTGACTTGATAATTTATTAATAAAAGAGGTTATTTGTTATGAAATTATAAATTTTGAAGTGGTGGCATGTAATTTTTAGAATTACATGAGCTAAATTGTATTTTAAACAAATCTTAAAAGGTGCATTTATAAATAATTGGTCATTCTTTAACATAAATTCGTTCTCTAGAGGAAGAATAACAATTTGATATGTCTAGTATGAAAATCAAGCATTTTTTGCAACAATTTTTTGGATTTTTTGTGTGCAGTTTTTTTTGTCTTTTTTGTAATTTTTAGATAACATCAAGTTTTTTTATTATTATTACTTTTTATGGAATATAAATATACTACAATGAAAATATAAAGAAAATGCTTCAAAAAAATAAAAATAAAAATAAAAATGTTTTGCTTAAAAATAATTGTCAAATCAACCTTTATATCATTCCCAAATATGTGCCTATCTATATATGGGTAATGTAATTAAAAGGGTACGTAAATGACATTGGGAGGTTTAACATAATTCAATCTTATGAGAGATATAATTTAAAAAAAAAAAGAAGTTATAACTAAATATTACTTAAGATATAATATGTTAGATCATAAGTAAAATAATATTATAACTAATATCACAATGAGTCATAACTAACATCACAATAAATCATAGGGCTACAAACGAACCAAGCTGTTCGCAAGCTGTCTCGGCTCGACTTGTTTAGTAAACGAGCAGATCTCAAACTCAAATAAGCTCACTCATTTATCTTTATTTAAATTATATAATCTGCATATTATTTATATATTAAATAATAATATAAATACATTATTTATGTATTAAATAATATAAATAATAATAAAAAAAATTATCAAAAATTATCAAGTCGAACTGAGCTGAACTCAAATCCAATTAATTATCAAATCAAGTTTGATCTCAATAAACAAGTTCGATAAGCAAATAATCCAATCTTGAGCTTAACAAATCTAGACTTGACTCTTTACAACTCTAATAGGCCATAACCAAAAATCACATATGTTCCAACCAAAAGTGCAAAGGGGTTGTGTACTATTAAATTTCCCATCTATCTATACTTATGAAGCAAAGCAAAGGCATGCCAAGTGGATTTCTTATTTCTCTATTTAAAATATATAACAAAAAAAAAAATTAGATAGATAAGATGATAGAATTCAAACCTAAAAGAATTTTGGCTTTGTACAAAAGACTCTTGCCATTTAAGTGACATACAATATATAAGGAATTTTTTGTTTTATTTATATTTATTTGAATTACAAGCCGTTGGCATATATATATATATTTATATATAATTTTTTTTCCACCAAGTTAAGACAATAGATGTTTGCCTATAAATTTGAATTTGAAATATCACACTAATATGGATCATAGATTTGAGTAAAGATTTGGAAAGATAAAAGAAAAATATAAGTGAAATGTAAATAAAATATAGTTACATTTCACTTATATTTTCTATTTCTCTTTTCCTTTCAAAATCTTTATTTAAATTTATAATCCAAATACAATTTAAGTATCTTTTCAAAACTACTTAAGTCACTGCCCAAGTCACATATTTTTGAAAGACTGAAGTTATATAACTAGAGCAAGGCTAAAGCCTTACACAAGCCAACAGGGGGATTACAAACCCAATTGGGTGGTAGAACTCCATTAAGAAAGGCCCTCGCTGCCCAATTTGCTGCACTATTAGCCTCACAAGGAGTCCATAGAAAGGAAAAATTACATTGGATTGCCAAGCTTCGGATATCTTCGATGATGGGAGCACATTTCCACGGAGGGACAACCTCGGTGACACAATGAGAGATCACAGTTTTGTTATCTCCAGCAATTTCCACCTGAGAAAGATTGAGGGATCGGGCCATGAGACATGCCCATCGGACCGCCAGAGCTTCACCCTATATGACTAACCTCACTTCCTCAAAACGAACAGCTCCTTCCACAAGCAAGCCTCTGCTATCCCGAATAACCACAGTCATTGATGCAGTGGAAAACCCAGGTCTCAGAGCCACATCATAGTTAGTGTACGGGGAGGAAATAATTCTCCTCGTATAATCCTGTTGACCAAGTCCACGCTCCTCCGTACGACATCGCTTTAGCACCTGAAAACACAAACGTGAGCTAGCCGGCGGGTGTGTGCCGGAAACCTCTCCCATGCCTAAGTCAGAAAACTTGACGAATAGACAAAGCTCTAAGTTTTCAGAAAGTAAAATTGAATCACTTCTCCTGGGCCGGAGTATCTATACCTCTACTGGGCCGAAATAACATTACGGCTTCTTACCGATTCCTTCACACTTTGGGCCGCAGGGCCCAACTCACAGCTCGGCCCAATACTTTCCCAAAAATTACCCTCTCAGTTAGCTTTCAACCTGCCATGCCGAGGGGAAGTCCACTCCCTAGCCATAGATCTCAAAGAACTCCACAGATTAGAAATAGGCTGATTAGATTGCAGCACTATTGCATACTCACTAAAATCCTTTTCAGCTTTGAAAATTACAGAGTAGGGGTCATTGGGCTGATGGTTGAAAACAACTCATTTCGACATTTCCAAATGTGCAAAGCAGCTTACAAAAAAACTCCACTCTAACATTCTTGTCCTGAATTTTTTGAAACAGATCACAGGTCCAACGCTAGATCGAAACAATTGGCCCAGAGCTGCGAGTGGGGTTTAAATTGCTCCCAAACCACACAGCCCTTGTCCAGTCACATCTACAAAGCAAATGCTCCACTGTTTCAGATTCCTTACGGCAGGTGGGACACATATCATCTTTTTCACAATGATGCCTAAAAAGGTTTGATTTAGAGGCCAGCAGATTATTGCATGCCCCCCACCAGAAGTGTCTAAGCGTAGGAGGAATCGGGAGAGTCCACAAGAATTTCCAAAACAGAGCTAGAATCTGAAAAGAAAAAGATGGTCTGTCCTCACTGTGACGTTGTTGATGTGTAACTTCTACATGGTACCCAGACTTAACTAAATAGGTCCCTTTGGGGACATGATGCCAAATTAAATGATCTTCTTTATCTTCAACCACTATGGGAATCGAACAAATCTAGTGAACCTCCTCTAGAGAGACCACACTATGCAACACATCTTTCCTCCAGCATTTGGAATTGGGATTAATAGCATCGCTAACAGTAACTAATTGGCAGTCTATGGGTTTCCAAAATTAAACCCAAAAGTCTTTAGACGAAGCTACCTATTTGTCGTCCCAGAACTTGATGGATTTCCCATTGTAGACCTGCTACCGAATGCCATGGTTTAGCACCTCACGACCCTCCAACATGCTAGTCCAAGCCCGAGGTCCTTTCCTGGCATTCCAAAAATCTGAGTTGGGGTAGTACCTGCCTTTAAAATTTTGGGCACAAAATGATTGAGAATTTTTGGATAGCTACCAACCTTGACGGGCCAGTAAAGCTTTATTAAAGGATCAAAAATCCTGAAACCCCATTCCACCTTGGAGTTTGGACATGGTCATCTTCTCCCACGATGCCCAATAAATTCCTTTACACTCTGAGTCTCATTTCCATCAAAAGTTGCTCAAAAGCGCATTTAATTCAGCACATAAATTCTTTGGAAAAAGAAAGCAAGCCATTGCATAGGATGGAATGGCTTGGGAAATCAATTTGAGAAGAATTTCCCGGCCTGTTTGGGATAACAATTTAAGTTTCCAGCCTTGAAATTTGTCGCGCACCTTCTCCACAATAAAATTATAGGTCTCACGTTTGGATCTCCCCCAACAAGCTGGCAAACCCAAATATCTGGAACCTGGTTTAATAGGGGCAATACGCATGATATCACAAATCTGACTTTGAAGTCCTGCCCTAGTATTAGCGAAGAATTGGATACCAGACTTTTCAAAATTTATTTTTTGGCCCGAAGCTTGCCCATAAACTTCTAAAACTCTGAGAATTTTATGACATTGAACCGTATCCGCTTTGTGAAACAAGAGAACATCATCAGCAAATAAAAGATGTGATAGCATTGGGCAACCTCTGCTAAGTTTGATACTTGAGAATTTCTTCACGTCCAAGCTCTTTTAGAGGAGCTTAGATAAAGTTTTGACCACAAGGAGGAATAGATAAGAAGAGAGAGGGTCTCTTTGCAGAATACCCCTAGTGGGTGTAAATGTTGTTCGCACAGCTCCATTCACTACCACTGTAAAGGTAACTGTTGATATACATTACATAACCCAATTAATCCAAATCTCATGAAAGCCCATCCTTTGCAAAATTGCTTCCAGGAAATCCCATTGAACCCAATCGTAGGCTTTGTTGAAATCAAGTTTAGTGGCCATGTCCGCTTGTGTACCCCTTTTGTGCAACTTAAGATAATGAAAGGCTTCATGGGCCACCAAAATGTTGTCTTGGATCATTCTTCCGGGAACAAAAGCTGATTGATTTGGAGAAATAATTGCTGCCAATACTTCTTTCAAGCGACTAGCCAGGATTTTGGTGATGATCTTGAGTGTAAAGTTACATAAACTAATTGATCTAAACTACGAAAGCATCTCAGGTGTGTTAACCTTCGGGATTAAGACCAAGTTAGTGTGGTTTAACTCCTTCAGTAGGACTCCATTCGCAAAAAAACTCCGAACCGCCGTACACACATCCGCCCCGATTACATCCCAATATTGGTGGTAAAAAAAACTGGGATACCCATCTGGTCCAAGAGCTTTAAGCGATCCTAATTGGAACGCCGCAAATTTAATTTCATCGTCTGTCACTTCCTTGGTTAACCGAGACTTCATCTCTGCAGTGATTACGTGGTCCACCGCACTCAAAGCCTCCTCCATATCACGATTACTAGTAGAGGAAAACAAGTCAGTAAAGTAATCGTGTATATGAATGTTAATGTGCTCATCCGATACGAGCAACTCCTCATTTGCATCCTTAAAGTGTATCAACTGGTTTCTTTGGTGGTGTTTGGGAAGTTTGGAACTTGGGTTTTTTTTTATTTTTTTCACAAAAAGACAAACTTTTTGCAAAACCAAAAAAAACACATCCAAACAAAATATCACATCCAACCCCATAATCATTTCACTTTTTCTCTCACAAATATCACATCCAACCACAAAAAACCCAACTATCTTCCCAAACACAAAAAAAATTTCTCCAATAATATCCTACAACTAAAAAAACCTACATAAAAACCCATTTCCCAAACACCCACTTTGTCTGCGTTGATTGAGTGTGACGTGAAAAAAGGCCTTGTTCCTATCTCCGTATGACAACCAATTAACCCATGACCGCTAATGGATATACATCTCCTCTCTTAACAAATATTCCTCCAGTTGGGATTGGATGGCATGTTGGTCCCGACAGTTCTGGTGAGTTGGAGCAAGGCTTTAAAGATGAGCCAATTCGCGTTTACAGTCTACCATTTGCTTTTTGTAGTTACCAAATTCATTCCGGCTCCATGATAGTAGGTCATTACTACAAGATTTCAAACGGTGGACCAACTGGAACATCGGGGATCCAGAATTTGGAGAGGCCCACGCCCTCTTGATGACTTCCCCACACTACGAACTTGATGCTCACATAGATTCGAATTTAAACAACTGAGGAACTCTTTTTGGCGGGACATAGCAGTTAACAATAAGCGGACAGTGATCGGAGCCAATGATGCTCTCATGGAATACTTGTGCAAAAGAAAACCGATCACGCCACGCCACTGTGGCAAACGCTTTGTCCAACCTCTCACGAATATTAGCTTCCCCAACTTGGTGATTTGTCCAGGTATAGGCAGTACCTTTAAACCAAGATCCATCAACTCACACTCTGAAAGCATAGATTGAAAGCCATCAATTTGAGATCTGCGACACACCACCTAGTTTTTCCCACATAGAGCCCACTTGATTGAAATCTCCCAAACACAACCATGGATAGTTATTACTCTTGGCTTGATCAATCAAGAGGTTCCAAAATTCCTTGCGTTTCGACCTATTAGGAGGGGCATATATAAAGGAGACAGCCCACCCCCTGTCGGGTTTGGCATAACCAACAATACATCTCATGACATGTTTGGATTTAAATCGAACATCCACCTTAACCTCATCCACCCACCAAAGAGCAAGTCCTCCAGACGCCCCATCAGGATTAACATAACAGCTATTCGGAAAATTAAGCCTTCTACTAGTCCTCTCCAGCTTGGAGGTTTTATTATTTGTTTCCATCAAAAATACCACAGAGGGACGATGGGTTGAGCACAACCCTCGGAGGATCTGGACTGTCAGAGGTCACCCCAACCCCTGATAGTTCCAGCTAAGACTCAACATGGAGCTCGTGGCTGTAGAGGGTCAGCCACCAAAACCCTAACCATTGTATTAGGATCTTCAGTCGGTAAACTACTGGGGACTTGAGACCAAAATTCCCCACCTTCCTGGCTCCAAGAGATAGGAATCTGTACCAGAGCTCCATCATTAGCCTCTCCTTCCAACCTGGCCGCAAAACCTGCTCCTGAAACTTGTTGTGAGCCTCGCCCAAATATTCTTCGCTTGGAGTATTTCCTATCCCTAACATCCCGATACCTTGTTTCGATCTTAGTTGAAATCATTGCAAGCTGCTCGCGATTAGCACAACCAGTAGTCGATTTGATCCGCTTGGGTGGACCGTCTTCACACAAATCATTGTGGGCCTTTCTTTTGATGGACAAGTCTTGGAAAAATGTGGCCATACTCGTAACAATAGCTTGATCCAGAAAGGAAAGGTTAGTAGGGCTAGAGAATGGGCTAATTTCCTCGATCCCAATATCAGGGATTAGCCCAATTCCACTTCCATAACTGTAAGATAGCCTAACAATGATACTGTTATCTACGGGCTCGGTGACAAAATACCTGGGTGCAAGCCCATCAAACGATTGGGCTGATGATAAAACATCCTTACCCAGTGGAGTATCCGTAACAGCATCTGCACCTACCAAAATGCTGTTTGTTGCTCCCAGCTGAGATGTGCTATCGTTTACCCCTGCAACCTCAACAGTGGGTACAGACACGCCACCAAAGCCAATACTCCTACCATTACCTGACACCATATCATGCCGCAGAACCTTGTACCTATTCTCATGGTCACTCACAGCTGGGTCTGTTGTGCGCGTGGTGTCCTTAGGAGCCATTGTACCAGCAGTTACCCGCCTCTCTGTCGCCGATCAATTGATAACCAAATTGCGCACCCTTTCTTCCGCCTTGTCTACCCATTTGCATACCTCTTGCATCGGTATATCCAGCCTAGAGGCTCTGCTGGTTCGTAATTCTGGCCCATACCCAAATTTCTTACCTTCCTCTCGGGAGACGAATTTGTAAGAAGAATTGTTATGGCCTATCCTACCACAATCATAACAAAAATCTGATAATTTCTCATATTTGTAGGAGACCCATGTTTCCTTCACCTGAGGCCCTTTTAGTCGTAATATAAATCCCAGAGGTAGTGGTTTGGTCACGTCCACTTCTACTCTGATTCGAAGAAAACTCCTCTCTAACAGGATACTATCATGAAGGGCTTCAACCCCAAGAAGATTCCCAATTCTTCGACCAATGATTTCCCCATTTTGTCTTGTCAATTTGGCCCCAAGATGCCATGAGCTTGCATCCAAAATGGGCACCAATTGAACTCTATTTCTTCAACTGGCTTGCCAATCGATAGAGGTTGTAGGACCAAAAGAAAACCCATGACTGACCAAGGAGCCTCCATCAGGGCTTTTCGACAGTCTTCCGCATCAGCAAATTGGAACAGAAAAACATTATCCAACCATGGTGAAATTGTCATGTTGGCCCGCAGTTTCCATGCTCTCATAATAATATTTGCCACCGCAAATTCAACTTGGTTATTTGTCCAGGTATAGGCAGTACCTTTAAACCAAGATCCATCAACTCACACTCTGAAAGCATAGATTGAAAGCCATCAATTTGAGATCTGCGACACACCACCTAGTTTTTCCCACATAGAGCCCACTTGATTGAAATCTCCCAAACACAGCCATGGATAGTTATTACTCTTGGCTTGATCAATCAAGAGGTTCCAAAATTCCTTGCGTTTCGACCTATTAGGAGGGGCATATATAAAGGAGACAGCCCACCCCCTGTCGGGTTTGGCATAACCAACAATACATCTCATGACATGTTTGGATTTAAATCGAACATCCACCTTAACCTCATCCACCCACCAAAGAGCAAGTCCTCCAGACGCCCCATCAGGATTAACATAACAGCTATTCGGAAAATTAAGCCTTCTACTAGTCCTCTCCAGCTTGGAGGTTTTATTATTTGTTTCCATCAAAAATACCACAGAGGGACGATGGGTTGAGCACAACCCTCGGAGGATCTGGACTGTCAGAGGTCACCCCAACCCCTGATAGTTCCAGCTAAGCCTCAACATGGAGCTCGTGGCTGTAGAGGGTCAGCCACCAAAACCCTAACCATTGTATTAGGATCTTCAATCGGTAAACTACTGGGGACTTGAGACCAAAATTCCCCACCTTCCTGGCTCCAGGAGATAGGAATCTGTACCAGAGCTCCATCATTAGCCTCTCCTTCCAACCTGGCCGCAAAACCTGCTCCTGAAACTTGTTGTGAGCCTTGCCCAAATGTTCTTCGCTTGGAGTATTTCCTACCCCTAACATCCCGATACCCTGTTTCGGTCTTAGTTGAAATCATTGCAAGCTGCTCGCGATTAGCACAACCAGTAGTCGATTTGATCCGCTTGGGTGGACCGTCTTCACACAAATCATTGTGGGCCTTTCTTTTGATGGACAAGTCTTGGAAAAATGTGGCCATACTCTTGACAATAGCTTGATCCAGAAAGGAAAGGTTAGTAGGGCTAGAGAATGGGCTAATTTCCTCGATCCCAATATCAGGGATTGGCCCAATTCCACTTCCATAACTGTAAGACGGCCTAACAATGATACTGTTATCTACAGGCTTGGTGACAAAATACCTGGGTGCAAGCCCATCAAACGATTGGGCTGATGATAAAACATCCTTACCCAGTGGAGTATCCGTAACAGCATCTGTACCTACCAAAATGCTGTTTGTTGCTCCCAGCTGAGATGTGCTATCGTTTACCCCTGCAACCTCAACAGTGGGTACAGACACGCCACCAAAGCCAATACTCCTACCATTACCTGACACCATATCCTGCCACAGAACCTTGTACCTATTCTCATGATCACTCACAGCTGGGTCTGTTGTGCGCGTGGTGTCCTTAGGAGCCATTGTACTAGCAGTTACCCGCCTCTCTGTCACCGATCAATTGATGACCAGATTGCGCACCATTTCTTCCGCCTTGTCTACCCATTTGCATACCTCTTACATCGGTATATCCAGCCTAGAGGCTCTGCTGGTTCGTAATTCTGGCCCATACCCAGATTTCTTACCTTCCTCTCGGGAGACGAATTTGTAAGAAAAATTGTTATGGCCTATCCTACCACAATCATAACAAAAATTTGATAATTTCTCATATTTGTAGGAGACCCATGTTTTCTTCACCTGAGGCCCTTTCTGTCGTAATATAAATCCCAGAGGTAATGGTTTGGTCACGTCCACTTCTACTCTGATTCGAAGAAAACTCCTCTCTAATAGGATACTATCATGAAGGGCTTCAACCCCAAGAAGATTCCCAATTCTTCGACCAATGATTTCCCCATTTTGTCTTGTCAATTTGGCCCCAGGATGCCATGAGCTTGCATCCAAAATGGGCACCAATTGAACTCCATTTCTTTGTTGAGTATACCTCCTTATTGGAGTGTAGGACCCAATTGGTTTATTAAAAGAATTTTAATTTGACTTGATTTAGGTATAAT